GGTCAAACCGAGGACACCGGCGAAAACGTGACTTCAACATTGAAGCTCGCAATGTTTTGGCGCGAAACAAGCCGCTTTGGAGGGTCAACGATTCAAACTCGCGTGCGGGGGCGTCGAGCGCGCGCCAAGCCCCAACGAGTCTCATTCCGCAATTTCCTTTCTTGTGAACACTCGGGTTCATACCGACTGCCCCCACCCATCTCTGCTAACCCACCCGCCGCCTGACACTGACCGATGTCACTACCATTGCACGCTGCCTGACACCACCAAAATCTCTGGGGGAAATGCTGCTCGATTCCCATGCTGTCGTCACGCTGTTCCACACATAAGTTGCTAACGCCGACAAGTCGCTGTCGCCACGCCGGTCCGCACGCTGTACGATGCTAACGCTACATGGGCGCCGAACGTCAGTCATACATGCTGCCCGTTTGGAAGCGATACCGTTGCTACACTGGCCGCTGCATTCCCTAACCGATGTGAACACGAAGCGTCAGCGGCAACAACAATCATGCGCGGTAGCTACTACGACGGTTTGTACACGGTGTGGCTGGTGATTAGACTGCGAATTTCCGACTGATGTCCATTGTGTTGGACCTGCAGCGATTGCTACACACGCTGCTCGTCAAACGCCAATTCATCTTGTCGGCAGGCACGGAACAGTGCGAGAGGATGTAGCCTCTTTGCTACCAGCAGCCACTTGCACCTCGCCGATGGTCTGGGAGAAAATGCAGTTCACGATGACTCGCAACCGGCCATATGGACATCTGACGCAATAATATCTTCACGTTGAGAGCTACCGAAGCGTGGTTTGTCCTCAAGCTTGCAGTGTAGTGTGGGTAGTTTTGCTTACAAAAATCTGCACCAACCAAGTATCTATAAATCCACTTCTCATATTTTTCATATAATCAAATTGCTGTACCGATGCGACACCGGAACTAGTGACCAGCGGTCACGTGAGCCACGTGAGCCTAACGCGTAGTCCTCTTGCTTGCCTTTGATCGAAGGAAAGGTGCCTGCATTTTGTATATCGAAGAGCTTCGCATGAGATGACCTTCGAGATTGTAGACCAGATTAGGCAGATAATATCCATGGTACTTCTGCCAGCATGACCATGACGCTTCTTGACAAAGATGTGGCTGGATGTATCAAGTGGGTAGGTGCTTTCGCACAAAGTAACGTTGTGCTTTTCGCAGTAATCTTCCGTTTGGGTTGGATTCCTGCATTTACTGCCATACGCAGTATATTCACACATTGCACGACGCTTCCATCGACTTTGATCTTGTTCTTCTTGATTTCACTGTGACATTAGCATCTTATGTCGTCGTCACATAGATTTAAATGCCGTACGCCTCTAGATCCGTCTTGCCGTCCAAGGTTGGCGCCATGGCCACCTCCGTCGTGTGGTGTGGCCGTCGATTGTTGTTATCGTGAGTCCCAGCTTGCTGTCGACGACGGTGGTGTTGACGGTCGTCATCTCCGGCGGGTCATGGACAAAAAGCACCTCGTTCGTCTGTTGCTGCCCCTCCGGAACCGACAACGCACTCGTATTCATCGCCTGGGTCGCAGTACTCGCCCTATCCGCGGGTGCACGTGCCACCGCTACGTGATCGTCGACCCGTATGTCGGTATCCTCAGTCA